CACCTTCAAAAGGACTCGTTTAGAACTTGGAGGTCTGTCCAAGTGCAGTGGTTTTGTGGTAGAGCTCACCAGACAAGTACCCTCATTTGCTGCCTTAACATTGACGTCATGTAAGATCTGTAAGTGTTTGCGATTACACCTGTGGCAGGGCTTCTTTAAAGTACATTGCGCAGATCGATGTGAGCGTGCACACTTCCAGCATCTGTTGTTCCTCTTTATCCAGTCTGTGATTTGGTCTTTAGTGAGTTCTTGGAAAATGGTGCACTGGCTGAGATAATGTTCTCTGTTATCACAGTATGGACAGAATGCATTGTTCTTCTCAAATTTATTTGATGGTTGCCGTACTATTTCAGCTGAAGTTGTCTGATCTGCACCATGAAGAAATGTGGCTGGTCTGGACTTGAATCTGGGTTCTCTGTTTAAGTCAACTTTGTGTCTGACTCTGTCTCTCTGGGCTTTGTTTCCCGCAAAGCTATCATGGTCCTGACACCATGACTCAAACTTTAGCCACTTTGCCAGATCATTGAGTGTGTACATGGTACCAGGTTCATTACTGATGCTCCTTCTAAAGACTGCACGTAGCTCTGTAGGTAATTTAGTGAGAAGTCGCGCCACATGGGAACCACAGCGTAGTTCAACCTCTCCCTCTGACCCCAATGTCCTGAGGAGGCCTACTAGTGCTTGGACTTGGAGAGCAAAGCGTTCAAAGCTAACCGTGTCACCAGGTTGGATATCTGCAGAATCCATAACAGCTGCTATCTTGTTTAGAGCCAGTTGATGAGGACGGCCATATCTCTCAGTTAACGCCTCCATGGTGTCTGTATATGGGGTGAGCGAGTTCAAGAACGTAGCTCTGTAGGTAATTTAGTGAGAAGTCGCGCCACATGGGAACCACAGCGTAGTTCAACCTCTCCCTCTGACCCCAATGTCCTGAGGAGGCCTACTAGTGCTTGGACTTGGAGAGCAAAGCGTTCAAAGCTAACCGTGTCACCAGGTTGGATATCTGCAGAATCCATAACAGCTGCTATCTTGTTTAGAGCCAGTTGATGAGGACGGCCATATCTCTCAGTTAACGCCTCCATGGTGTCTGTATATGGGGTGAGCGAGTTCAAGAACGAGTCCGCTATCAGGCGTGCCTCCATTCGTTTCAAGTGGTCAATGAGCACCTGGTATTTAAACAGTTCATTTGCATCCTCTGGTAACAAGTTTCCCAAAGCTAACTTTAGCCTGGTAAATTCACCTGGGTCTCGATGGATGAAGTCTGGTATGGTTGGCTGTGGACCCCTATAAGTTGTCTCCTGTCTAGTTGAACTGGAATGCCACGCCACTGGGCTGTACTGTATTTGCACTGGTTCAATATAGCTGTGCTCGCACTGGTGTGCCGGTCAGAACACAGGAGGCAGGAATCAGAAGTAACAGTTTTAATTAGGTCCAGCATGAATATTTAGCACAATGAACGGCACAGTCAGACCACAGGACATTGAATGGCACTATCCTATTAGACATGGTATCTGAGGTAGTATGTTGTGTGGTATAGTATCATTGAGGCACAACTTAAACATATCCACTTTGACCATGAAAGTAAAGTTAAGTGCACATCCTGGAGAAACCCAAGTGGTAGCGTGGTAGGCTCATCAGGAACAGAAAGTGATTGACGCAATGGAGCAACAACTAATCTGATTAGTTGTTCCTTCCCAACATTTGTCTTAATTTTCCTTCCTTGTGCAAATAAAAGTGCAATGACATCAGTTTGTTTAAGGGATAGTTCACCCAAAATGAAAATTATGTCATTAATTACTCACCCTCATGTTGTTCCAAACCCGTAAGACCTTCGTTCATCTTCGGAACACAGATGAAGATATTTTTAATGAAATCCGAGAGATTTCTTTGACATTGACAGTCGTAGACATTGACAGTCTACGCAACTACCAGTTTCAAAGGGTAGTTAAGACATCATTAAAGTGATCCATGTGACTCCAGTGGTTTAACCTCAATTTTAGAAAGCGGTGCGAGTGCTTTGTTTGCGCAAAAAATATAATTGACCACTTTATTAACAAAATATTAATCTCCAACACGTGTTCACAAGAGCACCACGGCGTATGCGTGTTGTGCTGACGCGAGAGCAGACGTTGTTGCAAGAGCGCGTGTGTTGGAGATTAATATTTTGTTAATGAAGTGGTGAATTGCATATGGACCATATGTAAATATCACAGATACAATAGGGCTCATCATGTAGCATATGAAACACCCTAATACACATCCTTGAATGTGTTTTACATTTGGTATCAGCTTAAAACTTGTATGTCAAGCAGACACTAAAATACTTTCATGTTTTTTTTTTGTTTAATAGAACACAATAACTTACAAAATCACGGCAACAGGGGCCTTCACAAATGAAATTTATTTCTTCATTATGCACTTGTCTTGAGAGGAAAAAAATAAGTCTTTATGTACACAATATAACACTTTAAATATAGGGTGACAAATTTGATATGGTCCACTTAGTAAATAAGATAATAAAAACATACCAGGAGAAATTCACAACTTCTCTTTTTGCTAATGATGCACTAATGTTTCCTTTAAAAAAAAATTAAGGCTGAATGAAATTGAAATTGAAAGATATTTTCCTATTATATCCACTGAATGGTTGAAATCGAATGGTAAATGAAGAACCAATGGCCATGTTTTCTTTTTAAGTACAAAGTCTTGTTGTATAACACATTTACACCTTGAAAGAATCCAATTTGCAGGTTCAGAGCGCATACAATATGTTGGTTTGTGCCTTGAATTGTTCAGTCAAACATAAGCTTTTCATGCCATCCATTCATTTGTTAAAAAGTGTGCTGTAATGACCCAAAAGCAAAACCAGTTTAGACACCTGACATCCTCAACACCTTCACCTATTGAACTGGAGATCACAAGGCGTCATGGATTTATCTCTAACTGTGAATCTAACAGAATAATCTTGACCAGGCCAATAAGCATTATTATAAAACCGACACAATCTGAATAACATGAAGATCAAAAAGGGATTGAAATAAAGGAGGTGAACAGACCAGTGAGCAAGTCATACTGAGTTTTATCAGTGCTGCTCACAGCTGTGCACAGTAAGTCCAGGTGCAGAACTGATCCCTTTATTCATGCAAACGTTACTATCATATCCACTACAATCAAACAGGCCAAATATAGACTTTTCATAAACTACTCAATTAAAACAGTATTTACACAATAATACACAATATGGATGTTAAAAGGCTAATTTTGATAACCCCAGATTTCCATTCCAGATTTTTCACAGACATGACATTTCTACAAAAATGAACCTTGCAAATCTAGAAAAGTTCTTTTTTTATATTCATTATTCACTTATAGAGTGCAACAGCACTTTTCATCCCATTCATTTTTTTCAATACAGGAATCGATTTTTAACAAATCTATAAACCTTTGAAGGCAGACTTACTGTGAGCTATAAGGTGTTCATCCATGATATCAGCCTGCATGATTTCAGAGTATTTTTTTAAATAATCATGTCTGACCATGAAATTCCTGGTGGAAAAACTACATTACCTAGGATTCTGCAAAGAAATCTCCACCAATTGGAGATTCTAAAAAAGCAAATCATGCCAAAACTAATTTTTCAAATAAGTTTACTTTGTTTTCTATTGTATTGACTGACAGCTCTTCTGTCCTCATGTTGAGCAAAATGGTGAGTAAGAGCAGAGGCGTTGTGTGCGCTGTGTGAACATGATTGGTATTAGTTCTAGACTAAATGTGAGCAATTTACTCATCTCACATGCACAAAAACAGATTCACTATTCCTTAATGAATAAAAACAGTAAAATGCAAGCTATTAAAAAGCTGCAATAATTAAAATGTTAAATAATACATCATTTATGTATTTAATCTCACTTTATCAACCAATTTCTTTGCTGTTGACCTTTGATGATCCAATTCAACCATACTAATAAGCAAAAATTACTTTAGTTAAACATCACATTTGTGTTTAATTTTTGTTTTTATTGCTGAAGTAAGAGTGTTGAACTTTTATTCTCTTGAGTCATTTAACTTTTGGTGTGAAAGGGCCTTTACATTTGCCAAAAATAGAACTTTTGTTATTTTGTTATTATAAATAACATAAAATTAAGTTCAGTACATGTGAAAAAAGTAACGCAACATATTACTTTCCATAAAAAGTATAACTAAGTAGGCTAAATAATGCAATTAGTTACTTTTTTTAGGGAGTAACGCAATATTGTACCGCATTACTTAACTTTTCCCAACACTGATTACACATATGCATATTTTGAAATAAACGTAAAATATATTCTCTCTCTCTCTCTCTCTCTCTCTCTCTCTCTCTCTCTCTCTCTCTCTATATATATATATATATAATCGATATTCTCCATTAGTATTATGTCGATTATGCTGTTTGCATTGCTTCATGGGATTGTAGTTATTTCCACCTTACTAAAGCCGTTAAGTACCTTTGTCTTTTTATCCAATTTTCAAATACTTTTTTTCCATCAAATCAAAGCTTGTACACCTAATAGCTGGTTGGTTTGGTTTATGGCTTATAACTTTTTAACAAAGACTTTCCCTATGGGAAAATAGAAGGAAAAATACTTCTGGAACCAATGCTGCTGAAAAAGTGGGCGGGCACTAATGCCCTTTATATTCGTCATCATGCCTGCAATGGGGTCAGACTGCTCAGTGTAAAACCATTATTTCATGTCCACAGTCTCGCTGTCTCTCATTTTACACAAACGCAATTGCAGCCATCTTGCGTCTTAGCTGCCAATTTGTGAAGTCTGTGTTAATATAGTACTGTATTGTTCGCCTTGTTGCTAGGTCAATTGATTTGTACATTGCCCTGGACTATTTTTTGTTAGCGGAAGCTTTAAGACAATAAGCAGATAAAATGATCAAATAAATCACGTCCACGTATTTATTTACTTATTCACGTCTGCGTCCTGATCACCTTGTTGGGGTTTATTTTGTAATAATTAGAAGCTGACTGTACATTATCCCTTACGTAGCTACTGCAACTCTCAAATGAAACAATGTAGACATGCATGACAAGAAGCCCAATGTATTTCACATCTACAATAATGTATCAGATCTATCCGGAAAAAAAAACTGAAAGTCTGAAATCACTGGCATGTAAGTCCCTCTTGACACCAAGCTAGATAGTAGTCTCAGGTGCGGTTCTAGATATTGGCTCATGCTCTGTGTCTCGCTTCCCATTCTGTCCATTGGCATGCTGAGGTCCTTTGGAATGGGTCCCACTGGGGAACAGCGAAGCCATCCTGTTAGATTCGCAGGGACTCGTCGCCCTGGAGCTGGATCTCATCATACCAGGAAAAGGGCTCCCAGATAGGGAGGAAGAGGAAGATGAGGTACAGGGACCCCAGCCTGGTAGAAGGCCTGATGCTGGACGAGAGCCCACAACTCTGCTGAATAATGTTGGGCTGGGGTGCGTTGGGGCCAGGGTCTGCTGGCTGCCATTCATGCAAATGGAGCTGGTGTCTGTGTAGACCTGCATGGCCGAGCCCGTCTGGACGCGGTAGTTGTACGCCCTCCAGCCCTGTTGTTTCCTCTGCTGACACTGGCACCTGAGGATCCGAATGAAAGCCTGCTTGAACTCACGGCTGTAACAGGGGTAAATTATGGGGTTCAGGCAGCTGTTGAAGTAGCCCAGCCAGAAGATCACTTTGAAGAATGTTTCAGGTGGTCGTAAACTGGTGTTAAATGACCCTACAAATAGAGGAAACGAGAGGTCATTTTTTGGGGGAACAATCTGCATGCGTAGACTTTTTTCATCTGTCACCAATAGATGGCAGACATTACCAACTCACATGTATCTGCAGAAACACAACTAATCTTTCTTCCTTCATATTCAAGCTTAAATCAGCAGTGTTACCTTAAAGAACTTAAAGATTTTTTTTGTTAATCTTCTAATCTTCTTGACAGTAAATATATCCCCAATTCTCATTAGCGTTATGTGAACATAATACTTGATTTTTTGTTTTGTTTCCTTAAAATCAGCATTAAAGGCACTACAACAAATGTGTACAGCCATTCGATTTTTTTTACTTTAAACTAATAATGGATCTTTTTTATCGTTATTATTATTATTCGTTTGCATTTTGATAATGCAAATGGAGGGTAGGAAATCATAATTGTCATTAAAATGTCACAATGGCAAAAAAAAATCTATATACATACTGTGCAAAAATCTTAGGCATGTTAGTATTTTCACCCAAAAAATGGTTTTAAGCCAGTTATTTATATATTTTGCTGTAGTGTGTCCGTAGGACATATCAATTTACATTTTCAAACCATCATCTCACAATCATCGAGTCTGTCGGTGATTACATGAAGAAACAGTAAACTAAATCCAGAGGAACTGCAGCAATGTCTCCAAGATGCTTGAAGAAACATACCTGCAAAGCTACAGTACTGTGAACAGGTTTAGGCACATGTGTAAAAATGCTGTAAAGTGAGGATGCTTTCAAAAATATTGTAATAACTTCTGTTAACTAAATCAAATGAATTTGGTGTGACCCCCTTTGCATTTAAAACAGCTTTTTTGCCAGGTACACTTGCACAGTTTTTCAGGAAGCTTTACAGGAAGGTTTCTTCAAGCGTCTTGGAGATGTTGCCACAGTTCTGCTGGATTTAGTCTGTCTCAGTTTTTCTGTTTGTATTCACAGACATACATGATGACGGTGAGATTCAGATCTCTGTGTGGATCATACCGGCTGTTGTCAGACTCCTTGTGCATACAAAAATCTCACTGGATTATTACAATTAATGGCAAAAGGAATGTTTGGAAATGTAAACTAACACAATGCAACAAAAGATATAAATAACTGGCTTAAAACCATTTTTGGGGGTGAAAATATTAACGTGCCTAAGATGTTTGCACAGTTATATAAACAGTATTATAATTTTAAATGATAAAATATTATAATAAAAGTTGAGCAAAATATAATTCCTTATTTCTGTTTTGATTTCGAATATAATCCATATATGTTCTTGACTGGTTTCGTGAGATTAATATTTTCCGGTCAGCCTCTAATTCAGCATTAATTCGGTCTCTGTCTAAAAACCTGTCTATTTTTGAACACTCTCATCCTGCCATAAAGAGCATAATTTGAATAACCTGTTCTTTGCTGTGCACTCTGTAAGCTTTTATTAAAATGGTTATCTTAAGTTCTTAAATTCCAAAACCTCATAAGGAAGATTTATAGTGCTTTTACAATTTTACTCCAGCTTCAACCAACTATCCATTTAAAGCAACAACCAAAAAAGTCTGGCACTTCTAGGGGTGCCATTTTCAAAATGGAAATCTTTCTCAGGTTTACACTCCCTCGCTCTCAAAAAAAAATTAAATAAAAGGTCACACAAATCCATCATGCTTTTCCAGACTCTAGACTGTAGTTCATCTCCGCTAATGAGTTTACTACTAACTCACTCTTCCCTGAGGAATTTACCATGTTTTGTAAATGCCTGATGTGCAGCCCGTAATCTTTTTTGGCTCTCGTCTCCTTCACTCTGTTCTGATCTTACTAAATAAGTCTAGACAAAATAAGTCAACAAGACATAACTCTGTTCATCTCAAAGTTTATATGTTTTATATTTTCAATAATTCCTCTGACATTTTTTTGCTCGGATGAACAGGATGCATGAGTGAAGCGAGAGATGATTGGTCTAATTTGCTATGGTATATCAGTACAAGGCAGAATGAGACTTGGGTTCATTACCACACTTCAAGAAGAGCCGCAGGTGTGAAGCCTTGCCCTGCGGTCAGCTTCTGTCTCTGCCAGTAAGTGAATTATTCCATTACGCTAAGATGTTCTCACCTCTTTCTTCTCTCAATCACATGTCACTCAGACATCTCTAAGCCAATCTGCACTAAGAAGTCAACAAACAATCTTACAGCAACCTTGTTTCTTTCTTTTCAGTTCTGTTGTCCAGCTGGCATTTTGAGAAACCTCGCCTTAATCCGTGATTAAATAAAGACTTTAGATATCATTGACCAAAATAGTATTGCTTTGAGAAAAAACATTACTTGATGGATAAACTCTCATGTGGCCTGGTGGCAAAGTGGTCATTGATTTTTCAATGATCTGTATTCACTCTGTATTCAATCTGCCATTAAGAAAACGAGTTATCCTGCAACACTAAAAAAAGTAAATTAATATTTGCAAGCCTTTTAAGCTAAAGCAACACTCAACAGAGTATTTGTGGAAGTAAAACATAATGGAAATCACGGTAAAAATGAGAAAGTTAAAGGAAGTCAAACGTTGCCTGCGAACATTAACCATCCAGACCAAATCTTGATGCAAAGCAACCTTCTCATATACAGTTAACTCCAATATTCATAACATGGCATATGAAAACAAAGGCCACTCAAAGAAGGGAAGTTAACTCCTCAAGGTCAAACACATATTTGCCTTCAAAATATTTCCTTACTCATTTGCAGGAAAAACATATCGGTCTATCTGCTAATATGACCCTTTAGAAGGTCACTGGGAGCTGAACTTACAGGTCATGAAGTGAATAGGAGGGTGATTACATTTTGACCAGATTTTTCTGTGGTGGGAATGGTACCTCTTCTATATTCCCACACCTCATCAGAAAATTCTGGGTTAAGATAGGGAGTGAGCCTGGGAATGAGAGAGCTCTGAAGACATTGGCATCTCCAGTGCATTCCAACAGGAGACCACAGCAAGCTTCAGGGACCAGCTCTGTATAACTCATCCATTGCTAAATTAAATGACCACACATCAGATTAACAGGACAGGCGTCGCTTTCAATTCAAACCAGCGCACGAGTCAAGGCTTCATACATTGTCAGTGATTAGAATATATTGCAAAAGAAAAAAATTAAGTGAGGTCATATATTATGTCCTTGCAATTAACCTTCTGCATGTGTTCCACTGGATCTCGTCCATGACAGAACTCAACACTATTCTTTTCCGTGAGTAAACAGTATTGAACTTTAACAGTTTAAGACATTTTGGACTGAGAGCACAGAGATGGCTGCCACAATCAGAACCTGAATTAACCAATGAAACATTTGAGCTGGAGACGTGTAGTTTTTCCTGGCAACAGGATCACATTCTAAAGTGTCAGAAGTGGCACTATCTTGACATTCAATCTGTAAAATTACTGCCTATGATTATTTTAAATCATGCCAAAAGCAATGTGACTTTACAACCGATCCACAACTGTCTATAATACCCTTGCATGTTTTATTAGTTACTACTAAACCAAAATAAACTATAAATATATCATTTAAAATATAATTTGGCACGCTAAGGCTATTTTACATCATATGGTCTCTTGCAATGCATGGAGCAAAACCAGCAAAGTGCCACAATGAAAGAGTAAGAAAGGCCTAAATAAGACCCTAAATATATTTACATAATCCATATTCCCTCTCTAAAAGTGTGATAATGTGCAATAAATCTATGACATGGTTCTACAGCCGACAATAATATTTTGCATGCATTCAACTGTTAATAATCAACCTCAGGAACGGCTGTAATTGACAATAAATTCCATAGAAGACACATGCTGCTACAAATATTTATAAAAATCGAATTATTGTGGTAATGTCACATGGGTTTGTCTCTTGTTTGTCCAACAGGGTTGAACTTTATCTCTTATCAAACACTAATGAAATAATGGGGCAGACTGTCTCTAATCGTACGTCCTGGACTCTTTTATGCCACAACAATAATACTTGTACATGAAATATATGAGGTGCAAGTGTGGTTCTGTGTTTAGAAATATAATTATGAATACGCATAATGACTGAATGTTGAACATAGCTATGCACTGATTTAAATGTGGAACAGATCATGAGCTTAGGTTTATAGCCAAGTTATATGTTTGCTGCAATTTATAAACTACAAATCTGATTTCTAGTAGGGCCCACAAGACCTTGATCAGGCTGGTAGACCACATTAGCCCACCAAAAAAACATGTTCTAAAAACACTGTTTTCAAACAGGGAGAGATCATTTATAGACAAAAAATTAAACTTTTTTTGCATATAAAGTGCATCAAACATATAGCCCTTTGCTATAAACCTAAAACCATTGTTTGACTTGTACTGATCTGTCTTAAATACAGTTTAAAGTTTAAGTTAAGTTTAAAACAGTGCCTGTTATTTTCACATTTAAAATTATATTAAATGTTGTTTTGTTACATTCACATGCAAGGAGGGCCGTAGCACCACAAGTGAATTATTTAAAGGGATAGTTTACCCCCCCAAAAAAGAAAATTCTGTCATCATTTACTCACCCTCAAGTTGTTCCAGACCTGTATGAGTTTCACAAAAGAGGATATCTTGAAGAATGTTGGTAAGCAGACAGACGTTAGCCATTACTTCCATAAAAATAATAATAAAAAAATATATACTATGGAAGTCAATGGCTATCGTCAACTGTCTGGTTAACCAACATTCTTCAAAATGTCTTCTTTTTAGTTCAACAGAAGAAAGAAACTGGAACAACAACTTGAGCGTGAGTAAATAATGACAGAATTTTGGGGTGAACTTGCCTTTAACTGAAATGTTTAATTTGTTGACAATGAATTTGTGAAGATGGTGTGTGAGGGTGTAATTATACTTCAAAGTTTGTCTTTTGATTTTTGGTCGAGGGTTAGTAAAACATACGTACCGATAGGTAGTGCGAGGAAAAATGGTAACCAGCACAGAATGAACATGCCCACTACAACACCAAGCGTTTTAGCAGCTTTCTTTTCTCTGGAAAACTTAAGTAATTTGACTGTCAGCGAGCTCCTTATGTGGCCTTTGCTGCAGTCATCCTGCGCCTGAGAACCTTTACAATGGATCCGGAGCGTCAGCTCATTAGAGTCCATGTGCTCCTTCATCACTCCGGCCTCGAGGTTTTTCGTGGTTCTTTTGGCAACTATATACACGCGGAAGTACATGGCCAGAATAACCGCTAAAGGGATGTAGAAGGAGCCCAGCGAGGAGAAGAGCGCGTAAAACGGCTCCTCTGTGATGAGGCACACAGTGTCGTCCTCTGAAGGAGGCTCTTTCCACCCAAGCAGAGGTCCTATGGAGATGACAAAGGCAAGAACCCAAACACCCAGCATGGCCAAGAGCGCCCTTTTCTCGGTCACAATGCTCGGGTACTGCAGTGGGTAACGCACCCCGATGTAGCGGTCTATGGAGATTACGCACAGGCTCATGATGGATGCGGTGCAGCACAACACATCCACCGCAGCCCAAATGTCACAGAAGATCCTCCCGAATACCCAGTAGTTAAGAATTTCAAGCGTGGCAGAAACCGGCAGGACAGTTGTGCTCAGCAACAGGTCTGCAATGGCTAAATTGATGATGAAGTAGTTGGTTGGGATGCGCAGGTGCCTGTTGCACACTACGGAGAGAATAACGAGAATGTTGCCGACGATAGCAAACACAATAAAAGCGCCCAGAACCATGCCCAGTGGAAGCGCGCGGCTGAGGCTGAACGAGCTCGGCTCGGTCCCGTTTCCCGCGGAGCTCGAATTGTACACGTCGGACAGTTCGGAGGAAGCATTACTCAAGAAGTTCACGGAATGATCTGTATCAGAACTCATCTTGCCTCTGCAGTACCTCCATACCAAAGTAAGAGCAGTTTTTACCTTCAAATGCGCAAATTGTTATTTCTGTATTCCAGAAAAAAAAGATCAGACATGAAAATTACCAATTCAAATGACCCGGTTCTGTTGCGCAACAAGCGTGGAATAGGAAAAGTCCATAATTGTAAAGGTTGTAGAAAGTCCAGTTGAAGATGTGCGTGTCCACAAACTTGGTTGGCTGAGTTCTCCGCAGTGTCTCTCCCGGTGTTCCCGCACTGCTTCTGACCACTCCTGCATTCACCACCAAACCCCCTCCCCTGTGGAGATACAGACCTGGCAAAGAGGTACATCTTCACGGCCTATTAACCTGTACATATGGCAAGCCGTTGTAACCTTCATTCCGTAAAGTCTTTACTAGCATCTATTTTATGTTACTAATACTTGTTTTTACTAAGTAATCCATTAGAGTCTTTTCAGTTTCATCAACTAGTAGGCTACTAATACATTTTTTTATTAGTCATTAGTAGGCTACATATTCCTTTGCTAATCATATGTGCCAGTCAGTGTTGGGGAAAGTTACTTTTAAAGGTAATGCATTACAATATTGCTATACTCCCTAAAACGTTAGTTACTTTTTATGGAAAGTAGTGTGTTACGTTACTGTCACTTTACTTTTTTCTAACCTGGCCTGGGCTTGTTTGATTGTTTTTCAAATGAAGGTCAGCAGCAAAGACATTGGTTAATAAAGTGAGATTAAAAAGATTAATTACATAAAGTACATTATTTAATAGTTATGCAGGTTTGCACCTGTATGCTCACAATTAGCCTAGTATCAAAATCAATAACACTTACCATACTCCCAATTTCTCTCAACATGAGCTGTCAGTCAATAAGTGGGAAAACAATGTAACTTGTATTACTTATTTGAAAAAGTAACACTTTATTTGTAAATCTAAAAGAAATGTATTACTTTACAAAAATGTATCTGATTATGTAACTCGCGTTACTTGTAATGTGGGTAACACTTTATTTTACAGTGTCCTTGTTACAAATGTTACATGTACTTACCATAGTAATAACAGTAAATTATGCATAATTACATGCAACTAACCCTCAACCAAATCCTAATCCTACCCTATCCCTATAAGTACATGTAGTTGATTAATATTACTCAGTACTTAAATATATAATTACACCACAAGGACACCTTAAAATAAAGTGTAATGTGTTACCCTCAACTCTGATGCTATTAAATTCTATGGCGTAGATGTTGAAAGCCAAAATACGTTGACATATTTTGATACATTTTCATTAGATACACAAAGTTTATTTTACCACACGTGTTTGCTGGATCCCTCTTTATCTTCCAGTTGACTCATTTCCAGTTTTACTTGTTAACTATTCAAACTTCGATTAATAGACTAGTCCCTGTTTATTTACTATGTATTAGACAACGCACTGTAAAAAATTAAAAGATCAATAAGTTATGACAACATGTGTTTTTACATTGCTTTAACTCATTAAAACAAGTTAAGCAATTTTGAACTTTTTTATAGAAGTTATAGAAGATTCAACTTTTTTAAATTCAGTTTAATAAAATTTAAGTTGAAATGGCTTAAACATCCAAGTTGATTGTACTTAAAAATTTAAGGCAGCAACTTTTTTTACAGTGTGGTATTATAATTGTTATTTACATTTTTAATAAAGTTGAGCTCAAATGAGCCATTTTGACTAGTATTTACAAATGACAATTAATTAAAATCAAATCATAATCATTGAGATAAGGAAAGTTGCTGGATACAATAAAGTCTAATGGCAAACCTGTGTGATCTGAGGAATAGTTAGGCCTATACTTTTCAGTACTAAGACAGTGACTAGTCAATAAATAGAGTAATGATGAATCTAAAATATCACTACTGAAATAAGTATCTAAAGAATAGTAAGCAGTGAAAAGATTCTTGACTACTGTATTACTTGCTAGAAGGTAAAATATACGAGTTAGTTTTAAAGAACAAATGTCACGACGGCTTGTCATATTACACCTATTTTGTCTTCATGATGACACATGCAAATTATAATAAAGGGGTCACTAAAGGCCCCACAGCGTGCTGTCAGGTAATGTAATGCAATGTCAACAGGACAGCATGCCAACGCATACCAACCGCTCTATTCTTAGGATCATTCGCGATTTAAAATATGGAAAACTTGCAAACAATATCAAGGTTGTTGATGCGTGGTGCTATCTAGGTACAAATTTAAGTCTCAAGGACTTACTGTGCAGATATACAATAACAAAAATGTCACACATGCCACTTGTCCACAAGTTTCTAAAAACAAGTACCAATTTAATATCCTAGAACACATTTTCATGAGTCTGGTCCTACTCAAATGAACTGCAGAAAGCACAAAGTCATTCACTGGTAAATGCCTCCTGGCTGTGCCATCTTTAAAGACTGCCATGAGTGTCCAAATATTCCCGCAAATCATCTGTAATTTTATAAACTAGCCCCTAACTCAATCTCTTTGCAAATGCCAGCCAAACAGGAATCTGACAGTGATGAAGCACTTAATGGCTTGCGCCAAAAAACAAAAACAGAAAACAGATAACTCAAACAGATGGATGAAAACCCCTGAAATCAAACTGAAATCAAAGTAAATTACATCTAGCAGTTGTGAAATAGGAAACAAGCCTGCTGTTATGCAGGAATATCCTCGTTGTTAAGAAATTAAATAAGCATTTTCATTAAAAATTCAGAGCACAGACTCTGAGAGAGTTTGCAGTGGCATAAAAGTGAGCCCAAGCCTTAAGGATAGTTCATTACAAAATGAAATAGACACTGTCCGAAACTGCACTCTCACCAGAAGCTAATGGTAAACAGCAGAGCATGTGACGTGAAGGGGAAACTTATATCCTTTGTGGATGGCACCAAATGTATGGCTGATGCATTTCAACCCAGACGTCAGTGCTGAGCTCAGGAGAAACAGCGGCCAGGCCACTGTGTGACCACTGCAGTAAATACACACATGCACACAGCACTGTATAGCTCTTGAAAACCATCCAACTATTAGCTCAAACACACTCCAAGTGAATTAAGGCGATTACATTTAATACCATCGCCGCTTTGGGTGATGAATGGCATAAGGTGATTTGAAGTGAAAGGTGAGATTTGAAGGCTGGAAAATGCTGAGCTGTCAGCCAGACCACACTAAACTGCGCCATCTTTTCTCAGCGCAGCGGCGGCGGAAAGCATCTGTCAAATGGCACAGTGACAGTATATATACTCCATATCAGAGAGAAAGCATTTCTTTATGAGTAAATCTCTTGAATGAATTTACATTATAGCCACAGTACATATGTTCTCATTCTTGAATAAAGAATTGCTTTTAAAATAATGAACCATAGCCTATTCATTGTTGTGAAGAGATAATGAAAAAGAAAAGCTAGAGGTGTTTTGCAACGCAGTGCGCTTAATTAAGTGGGTAAAATAAAGTATGGGAAGGAAGTGTAATTATTTGGCATCCTGTGAATCCATAATTGCAGATGTCAAATTGTTTTTTTCATCTTCCATAAGGGTGAAAAACCTTTGCCTATAAAATGGGAACTGATTTTGTTTCAGACCCAGATTTAAAATTGGACATGAAATTGAGGCCCAACGCTGTACCAAAGACAAAAATGTCCTTAAATTCAAACACTTAAGTGTATTAGTATTACATTTTAAATAACTAACTACAAAAGCTAAATAGAAAAATTGGTTTCTAAAATTTTGGGATCAAAAACATTGTGGCCAACCTGATCTCATGAGAAAACGTAACTATTTTACGAGTGGATGATTTTTTGTGAATTTGTATGATTTGATTAAAACAAAGGCATGTGGTTTTTAGAAAATAATAATAATTAAAAAAGTCCACCCCTACACCTAACCCTCAATGGGGTGTGAATCGATTGTGTGAAAATGTATGAATAAAATTGCTCAAATTCATACAAATTCACCACCATTTTACCAAAACGTTAAATTGTTATGCATAAGAATGTGTTACGTGAAGTATTTGAGGTATTTTAGTACCAATCCAGGCTCATGTAAAAAAAAAAAAAAAAAAAAAAAAAAAAAAAAAAAAAAACCTGTGAACATGAATCTGCCAACATTTTATTATGTTGGTTGTTGTACATATTGTGGCAGTTTGGACAATAAAGGCCTGGTGAGTGGCTCTATAAAATAACGTAATGGTAATTACGACAAGCGCTGTAAGTGGTAGACCAATCACAACAGACTGGGCCATCTGACCAATTAGAGCAGAGCAGGCTCACGGAAAGGAGGGATTTAGAGAGACTGATTCATTCGACGAGTCGTTTGAGAATCATTGAAAAATATGGTGATGTGCAATATTATGAGAAAATTAAAGTGTTTTTTTACCTTTGATGCATGTAAACCTGTTGTAGGAGTCCTCCACTTTAACATCTATGGAACCACTAAAGGTTCTTTACAGTGGAAAAAATTGTTATTTTAAGAACTGTTTACTGAAAGGTTCTTTGGGGAACCAAAAAAAAAAGGTTCTTCTGGAATCGCTGGAAAAACCCTATTTTAAAACCTTTTTTTGAAAACTTCAGATGCATAAGCCACTAAGTCCATCTGACATTTTTTCTTTTAAATGAGCATTTTTATCAGGGCACATCTTTCTGGGCACAGTTATCGACTCTATAACGATGAGAGCGCGGCTAACACCAGAGCGAGCTCTCTCTATCCAACAGCTGATAGCCTCCTTCAGGGTAGGTGCGCGCACGCCCCTCAGGAAGTTTCAGAGGCTTCTCGGTCTCATGGCACCGCATCGTCAGTACTCCAGCTTGGGTTACGGCATATGCGCCCCCTTCAGCACTGGCTAAAGCACCGTATGCCAGCCCATGCATGGCGGTCAGGCCGCCTGCACATTATGGTGAACCAGCACTGTGTAAGAGCTCTGGTCTCTTGGAAAGCCCAGAAATGGTACCAGTCTGGCGTGATAATGAGTGTGGCCTCCAGGAGGAAGGTGATTTTCACAGACGCCTCCAACCAAGGTTGGGGAGCGCTGTACGAGGGCAAGCCTGTCTCCGGGTTCTGGCTGAGCCCGGAGAAGAGCTTACATATCAACTGCCTGGAAATAATAGCAGTTTGGTTAGCCCTGAACGCATTTCTGCCAGACCTCAGGGGACACCACGTCTTAGTCCGCACGGACAACATGTCGGTGGAATCCTATATAAATCGCCAGGGTGGCCTCAGATCAGGCAACCTGTATGTCATGGCCAGAAAGCTCCTCCTTTGGTCGCATGCCAACCTGTGCTCCCTGAGAGCTGCGCATGTCCAGGGAGTCCAAAATTTGGGCGCGGAC